AATTATTTGACTTTTAGCCATCACACTGAATTTCAATTAGTGTTCAAAATAGGACAAACTACTTTACTAAGTAGTCTACCGGATATAAATATAGGAGTGCATATGTTCACAAAATTTTACATTCGAATTAAAAAACTCCTTTGTAAAACTCAGAATGCATCTACATATATACCTATATACAAGCACATATATATAGATTACATAGATAGATAGATAGATAGATAGATAGATAGATAGATAGATAGATAGATAGATAGATGATAGAGCTAGAGAACATCAGTGGTTGCAGAGTAAAAGTGAGATTGGCAACACTAGGAAACTTTTAATATCTGGAATGTACATGACATCCCATTTCCTGTAGCATTTAAAACTGTAGCCTTGATATTAAACTATGACTGACAAGAATATGTGGCTATACTTGTGCACACCTAAAACCATTTAAAAATTATTTTTATTGTAAAAGTTATCTTCTCCAGTTCATTCCCCAGGCTTGCCCTTTCTGCATCTTACAGTTGCTCTCACTGAATCTCTCTGGCCGTCCTCATGCCGTCATCGATACAACGTCCCAAGCTTTTCTGGAGGAGTAGCTACTTTTCCCTTTCCTTGCAGAGAAGCGGTAATGGGTTCTTGAAGGTGCGCATTAGGAGGACAGCAAGCAGTTGAGTGCCCTTGCATTGAAAGATATGCAACTGTCAAGAGTGACAAAAGCCTGCTTCTTAATGGACCACCACCTGGTGGTCCATTTTTCTAACAAGGTACTTGAATCTATTCAGTTCAGTAATGCATTTTTGATATATTCATAGCCAGGGTACAAATGGTAATAAGGGGGCATCTGAGAGCTAACGATTAGCAACAGCAGCAGCTAAGGCCGAGTCCTATGAAGCGGAGGTCAGGCCCATTTCCTCTCTCCCACCTTCAGTTTCCACCAAGCCTGATGCCAGTTTTCCCTCCACAGCACCCTCTACTTCTCGGTTGGGCTCAAGAATTGGTTGTAGTGGCCATTCAGAAATCAGACAATCCTCATGATCACGGGGCTTATTTGGAAAGCAGCACATTATAGGTTACCACTCAGTATCCAAACAACATCCAAACAACAACAAACAAATCCAATCCATACAGTTCTTCATTCAGACCAGTCTCTTCCCAGCCATGCCCACCCACCGGCCTCTCTCACCCTTGAGCCCTTGGGCCCCTTGGGCCAGCCCAGTCCCTGTCATCCTTACAAAGCTCAGAGCTCAGCCAATAGGTATCCAGAGCCACTCCACTCAACCAACCGGCCTTGGCCTGAAAGCACTCAGCTCTTTTGATTTTTGAGTCACCAATCCTGGCTTTGTCACAGGCCCAGAGGCACCATCCTCCCCCACCAGCAAGCCTCTTGCCTGAACGCACGCCGTTCTCTCCATCCACGGACCAGAAAACCCACCACACTGTCTCCTGCCAGTTTCCTGGTCTGTTGCCTCTGTTGGGACTTCTCAGCCTCTGCTTCTGGGTCTAGGAGATTCAGAACTCCTAGTCCAAAGGATACATTCTGATCCTGTCTCTTCTTTCCACCACTGGAATGGCTCCTTTTAAGCCTAGTGGAATGGTAAAGCTGACCAATCCACTTGTGGAGTTCCATACATCTGTTGGCATGACCCCGCCCTTACAGGGTTTCATGTACCTTATGGGCGCTGTGAACGAGCTGCCCAATCTTTGGCAGGCCACAGGCACCTTACGTTCCGTCCAGTCATGTGGTAGAGGTTACAAGACAATCACTAGAAAGACCACTCACGAGTGACCCCTCACACCACAACCATCCATAATGTTAGCAGCAACAATCTTACGCTTTGTGACTTTGGTAACATGTATGTGCCGACAACGAACACATCTTTGATCTACATTTTGCCATTTGAAAAGAGCATGTATAAAACCAAAGTTGTATTTCTCAAGTTTAATGTGAATAGAATCCCTTTTCTCTGGAGCAGGACATAGTGGGAAAGAGGAAAGAAACAGCTCACATCTGGCAGTCAGTGTGCTTAATCTGATGCCAGAAGTTTGGAAATCGGTCAAAACACAGAAGTGCGACTGTCCTTACCTATCTGTGATCCCACAGGAGTCTATCTGAAGGTCGCTGAAGTTCCCGAGGGCCCCCTGCTGAACTGCAATCAGGTCCACCGCTTTGTTACTGATAGTGATGAACCTCAGACATCCCTGAAATCCATCAGATGAACTTTGGCATTTGGATCCAAAGCTGTTGTCAGGACAACCTGATAAGAAATAATAAAATAAGACAAAAATAAACGCTGTGCACATCATCAAGATGATAGAACGTTGCATTTAAAGAAGAAGAAATAGCTATGTGATGCTTATCTAATTGAAGGGAATGGGGGAGGAACCAATGCAGTTTTTACCAGTTTGATCTAAATGACGAATTGTAAAACTGTATGAATTCATACAAAGCACCTTGTTCTTGATTCCATCAAATCTACGGGAGGCACAGCGGCTATAATGATAATGTGCATGTATACCAGCTTTGGCCAATAGTTAAAATTTTATATACAAAGGCATTTCAAAAAGTCCATGGGAAAATTCCCTAACTTTCCATTCCATTCTTCCACGAATTTTCTGAAGACCCCTCTTGGAGCTATATATAGATAGACAGACAGATAGATAATAGATAATATCTATACAGATAGGTAGAACATATATCTTAGTGAAGGACAGAGATATAAATATCAGTCTAGAATCATAATAATCTGATCTTGTTAGCCAACCACATTAAATGACATTTAATTCAAGAAACTCGGTCTTAGGGACTGCAAAATGGGGCACACTGAGGATGAAAATGTACATTGTCGTGAAGAAAAGATAAATCAGTAACAATTAGACACCTATCTGCTGAAGGTCAACTCTGGGACAGGGGTTGACTTGAAATAAGATTACCCGCTGTCTAATCATTTTCATATACATTAAAGGCACAGATGCATGTATTCTAATAAGTCATGCTGGTTTCATGCTAAAATCATTTTACTGTTATGATTTCATTGATTATTTGCCTCTTAAAGGATGTTCCATTCACATTGATTTTTTTCCCTCTAGCATTTGTTTAAGACTTGCTTCTAGCGATTTAAATAATAATAAAAGAACATGAACCATTTTTGCCTTGGATTTAATGATGTTCTAAGTATTTCTCTATCCCAGAAAAGTAAATAATTTGATGGAGCATGAACACGCACCTTATTCATCTTTCTTTGTCGTTCTGCTTGTCAACCACGATCACAAATTCAAAGAATAAGAAGTGAATCAGCAACTTCTTAACCCTTGTAGCCCAGGCCAGTTTTCTAGCTGGGAATTTCCATGATAATTAAGTGTTTTGACTGAGGGTATTTTCCCTAATGCTCTGCTGTCCTAACAAAATATATTCCTATGGCAAGGGAGGGCTAACAGTCACATTACAAACAAATGTTGGGTGTGTTGAAATATTATATCTTCCACTAATGGAGACGGGAATCTGAAATATAATATATCAAAAAAAAAGTCATCAATGCTTACCGAGTTTCATCTTATTGTACAGGAAACTATGCACCATTAAAATGCTTAAAATCTTCTGTGTGAGCGGCTATAGTTACGGTAATCTCAATGTGTTTTTTAGATGACTTATTAACCAATTAAAAATGCTAGGGATAAGGACTGAAGGACAATAGTTCATTAATATTTAGGGGACAACTATAATGTGCCGGGAATATAAACACTTCTGCTAATCTCCCTTCCTCCAGCTGTTGTTTTTCTGACACATCTCAAACTCTCGCAGAATAAAATAAATGGTGCACCTAGGCTTGTTGGAGAGCAAAGCGAAGCAAACCCACGGGCACAAGGAAAGGTCACGGAACGTCACAGAAAGCACGCTCGGGTATCGTCGCATCACTATCCCCGCTTATGATAAATAAGAGATTCTGAGAACAAAGAGGGATTCAACCCAGGTTAGTCTCGTTAGTCTATGAATAGAGGCATTCACCGTTGATCTAAGGGAACAGCGGAGAAGCTCAGCACTGAACCCATCTGAAAGTTCTAAAAGAGGGTGATTTCCAGAGAATACCTAATGTGGAATTAATGGATGGATCCATTACTGGAGGCAGTCAGCAAGTTAAGTACTCTGAGGATGACAGCTAAGTTATCACCACATGTCACAGTGCTAAGCAGTGAGATGCTGGGTTAGATTTTATGGAAACTGTTAGATGGATGGTGTTCGCGTTGCACAAAGGGGTGGTGGGGCAAGTGACAATTCTGCACACAGGTTCGGCTTCCCAGCTTGTGTTGTAGACTGTGCCCTTTAATCGTACAATGATCCCATACAGGGAGTTTTGCAGTAAGGTATTTAGCTTGTTCAAAGAGAGATCTGATCTTTGCCCGTGACTTCTGAGGTAGAGCCTCTAATGCCTTGGAATGTCCTTCTGGATAAAGGGTCTTTCTTTACCTGGGAATTTGGGGCCACCTTGGCTAGGCTACACTAACGATGCAATTCATGGCCTTAATTCACGGAGTGTCAACTCAGCTTCTAGAAGATCAACCAGCAGGGGATCAACCACATCGACAGGACAGAGCCCCCACACTTCAGGATTCCACTGGGGGGACACAAATGGAAGTTCCTTAGTTGGCACCTGGAGAGCCCTCTTCCCCTGGCTGATTGTAATCTGTAAGAAATCCTGTCACTTAAGAACCCCAATGGATTTCACGGAGCCTAACAGCTTGGCTGGGTTCTTTGAGTCCTTGAGTGAATGATCAAGTCTGAGGGTCATCTTGGGGAATGCTGGATTTGCAAATGATGTCAGGGTGATTCTTAACATCTGTAATGGCTAAATTGTAAAGACCCTGAGGAGATGGAGAAAGCCAAAAGTCAGATAGTGGCCCCTTGATCCTAGAAGCCAAATGAGATTTCAGGGCTATGCAAACTCTCTTTCTGAAACTGGGCAGCGCAGATAAAACTACAACAATCATTAGTTAATGTTTATACATGTGTGTGTATATATATGTATATAGTATTAATAGAGGAGAGGAGATGCGAGGTATATGGGAACTTTCTGAACTACTCTCTTGGCAATTTTTCTCTAAGTCTGAAACTCTTCTAAAATATGGATCATTAGAGAATGAATAAAAACAATCACTAGAGAATATTTTCTACACAAAATAGCTGGGTATTGTTAAACCAGAACATGTAGGATGCAAAGTACTTTAAGAATGATCATTTTATTTTCATGATTTACAACCCTTTTATCCTTTTATTTTACAACATTTAATAATGTACTTTAACTTTTTTTTTCTCCTTTCATGTGCTTTTAAGTCTTTTTTTTCCTTTGAAGTGCAACCTCCTGGTGAAATTGTTTTTGATAGATGACTATTTATTTGGGAAAAAAAAAAAGATATGTTTCCGTGAGTTGCCACTGAAATCAATAATATAGTCTGAAAAGTTTTGTAAACAGCCTGACTCAGAAATGAGCAAAGCGTGGTGCAAAGGAAGCAATGACCTATCTCAAGATGATTCACAGCAATGGTGTACAAACATGGGGCTTTTGTTTGTTCGTTCCTGCGCTCCCTTTGAAAGACCACGTGAACTGATTCACTGTGCGGCACTGGTGACAAGTCAAGACTGGACTCCTGCCACCATATTCTGAAGAGATGCTAGAGAGAAATAACCACTTAGAGGCAAACACAGGAGAATGCCAAGCTTGGTAAAAATAAGGAAGGACTCAAGCCAGGATTAGAAGGGCGTCTACTGTTGACCCATGCACAACTTTGCAGTTTTTAAGGTTACAGACCTGTTTTCTTTTTCTTTCTTTCCTTTTTTTTTTTTTTTTAATTTCCTACTGATAGAGATTCATTCCATTTCCAAAGATTTCCTTGCCAGACTCTTAGGTCCATCCAACATCCACAGGCCGGCCCAGGCTTCCTGTTTCTGCTTCCCAAGGGAGATGAACTGGTGCTGAAGGCCAAAGTCCTGGTTTTGTAAACGTATGCCTGCCTGCCTGGCGCCCTCGAGGGCAGAGGGTTTTAGTTGGTTTTATTTGCATCCCTGTCTCATTGTGCAGCGATACAGAGAGGTCGTCACATGTACTCAAGCTGAATTATGTATCCATTGGCACACTCTTGCCCTCCTGTCCTAAGCACTGGGAAAGCAGTCAGGATGGGCTAAAGGGGCTAGTGGGTATGATCAGGGAACCGCTGTGATGAGATCAGCTCATGAAGCTGGGGAGAGCAACAGGTAAGGGCCGTTTGACAGGAGGAAAGACAGCATGTCTGAAAGTTACAGCCGAACAGGGTAGTCTCCTAGCAACTGACCCGATCACAGACATCACAACCGTTTTTAAACAAGTCTAGCTGGTCGAAATGCATTTGAATGTCTAGTTTGCACTCCTGAGTCACAAGAAAATGAGAATGCATTCCTTAGCATTCACATGGGTGGTGGCCTGGTGGTGCCTGCGTTACCACTGGGCTACAAGCAGAAAGTGAGCCGTTCAAAGCTATTCCAGGGACTCAGGAAGAATCACAAAATGCCCCGGGGGCCTTTTCCAGCAAAAACTGAGGCCTAGTCTGCCCCACAGCCTGGGCAGGGGTCAGCGTCAACACAAGATCAATCGCATTAACATAGTCAAGTCATAATGACTTCCCCAAGACAGAGGAATGGTGAATGCAGACAGGGTCCAGCTCCCAACATGGTTTGCCCGCCCCCCCTTACCTCCAAAATAATAGGCATCACCGGAGTCGATCTGCTCAGGCCCCAGGGAAGGAGCAGCTGAGGCCACCTGTCCATCTACTGTCACACTCAGGTGATTCTTTTTGGCAGATAGTGCGACGGAATGCCACTGCCCATCATTTAATTCAGCACCTGCGGAGATGAACTGGATTAGAAGAGAGATCGCCGAACGGTGGAAGCGACAAGCGTGCGGTTAGAAACACTGATACATAATATAGACGTCTGTCATTCACAGACAAGCGTACGCATGTGTTCATAAAGAGAAAACCAAACGAGGAGGGGAAGGGAGACAAGTTGGAAATGAGTTTGCTCTATGTGGGAAAAAATGGATGAATATCTTCCTCTCCTAGGGCCTCGGTTGGGAAAATGTCAAATTCCTACTTCTCTGCTACCAGCTGCTCATGCTGCATGTCCTCTGGCCCTGACCCCAGAGCTAGGTCAGGCCTCATATGTCAAGGACAAACTCTGGCTACGAAGTCCGGATCTTCCCCCGTCCCTGAAAGATGCCACTTCTCACCGGCCCCTCCCCAGGCGCCTTCCATTCCAATCTGTTTGCTACAAATTTAGGGGTTCCCTCCACCTTCTTAAGTTACCAGCCATAAATTCTGTGGTCTCCACTCTCCCTCACTGCTGACCTGCAGGTTCCCACTACTCCCTTGGGTGCAATCATTTGCTAGAATTACTCGCAGAATGCATGCACAGCACTATGCTTACTGGTTACAGGGCTTTTTGAGAGGAAAAAGGATACAAAGAAAGAAGGTATAGGGCAAAGTGTGGGAGGATTCCCAACCTGGACTCTCCAAGTCCCCCGGAGAGATACAGTACCCTTCCAGGGGCATTGATGTCTTGTCCCAACCAGGCCGCCCACAGCACCTTCCTGTCCTGAGCCCTTCCCAAGGCCTCGTTAGGTAGTCATGAGTGACTGAGTCAGCCCACATCACAAGGTGGTCTTTTGGGCCTGACCAGCCCCACCTGAGTCATCTCATCCACCTATAGTTTCCGGTATGATCTGAAAGTCTCTAGAGGACAAATCCAAACCAATCGGCTGCCATCAAGTGGATTTGAATTCACAGTGAGGCTACCTGGGGTCTCTGAGGCTGGACATTGCAGGGAGCGGAGAGCCTCATCTTTTGTCTTTGCAGTTAGCAGCCCAACACTTCACCCACAGTGCCGTCACGCATCTTTGTAAAGACAACTCCATTAGTCAATTCCCAAGGTTTGGAGTTGTCTCCTAGGAACCAAGGACTGAGTTAATGTCACAGCAAGGCCCGTAAGGCAGGCGGAGGGCGCGGCAATGTGTCCCCGTGTTGCACAAAGGAGGGTCGCTATAAATCAGCCAACTCAGTGCCACCTGCCAACCACAGCAACAAAGGTCATGGGAAGCCCACGGGCCTCCATCAGGAGAATATAACCTCAGACCCTAATGAACACCAATGGTGAAAGTGTTCTGGTTATTTGACCCAGTGTGTTTGGATAGCCCCCGGCCACGTCATTGAGCTTGTAGAAGAAGATGCTAAGAAAAGCGTACGAGTAACGTTGAAATGTTTGAGTTTCTATCCAATGAAATGCTTTATCTGCTTTTCTGTGCACTTCTGGGAGTTATCTTTTATATCTTCTAGTGGAATACTTTACAACTCTATCAGATCAGTCATAAAAATGATATTAATAAAAGCGGACAATTGACAGGGACACTGGCAGTCCCCAGTATAACAACGTGCCAGAGTTGTGACGGCCCACACTAGAACAGTCCAGTTTTCGGGGTGTGTATGTATGTATGTTTGTTGTTGTTGTTTAGTAACCTGTACGCATACAATGTTGTAGCCTATAATATGTTGGTGCTGTCATTCCAGGAATCCCCCATAGACAAAGATCTGATTTACAAAGATACTGATAATAAAGGCAATTGTCATAAAAACAAAACCAGAAAGGTGTTCAAATTACTTCAGATCTGATTTACGCAGGAATTGTTGGACATGAACCCCAACATAAATCAGGGATTACCTATACAATGTAAAACAATAAAGCAATGTGAAAAATCGCAGATATATAATCCTAAGTATGCTCCTAATTTTTATATAATAGCGAGGAAAGACTAAAATAAAATATCCCTATTAATAAATAGAATTTTTGGACAATAGAATTGTGGTTGCATTCATGCACTCTTATATTTTTCTCTATTTTCTAAGTTCACTAGAGATAAATCAATATCACATACTATATATCATATAACATTCCTATATGTTTTTAAAATTCAAGATAACAATTACTGCCTCAGAAAGATGTTCCTCCTTAAACAGTCCCTGTCTCATAAATATGAGACAGAATTGCACAGGTATTTCTGTTGAAGGCAGTGAAATTTGCAAGGCTCTCTGCAGTACAGAACAACCACACTGCAGAACTCAGTCATCAGCATATTATTGTAGATTGACTACTCAGGCCTGGATTCACTGAAAAGTCAATGCTGTATGACTCCACAGATCGAATCAGTAAACAAAAATACCTGCCCTACTAAACTTAAAAGTCACAGGCCTGGTTTCTGATATTGTATGCCATTTTTTCCCCTTGTGTATCCCCCCTTCCCTTCCAGCTATTTTCTACTAGGAGTCTAGCCTGCGCTTTCAGCGAGGAAGTGCTTTGAAGCTTCCCAGAGGTGATTTCAGTTCTTTGCTCTGGCTGCGCTTAGTCTAAAACTCATTGCAGCCTGAATAGGGAGGCTCATTTTCACGTGACATCACGTGGCATGTGTACGTATGTGTGTGTGTCTAGGTGGGTATATACATAGATCTCTTTATCAAAGACCAAATTCTGATTTGGTTCATGAAACCTGAAAAGTGAAATGCGTACAAAGAACGTAGGTTTGATACTTTTAGGCACATTTTCTAAGAGCTGTCTATTTCAGACAACTGAAAAATGTTATGTAATTCCTGCTGGTATGAGATGGGACTAAAATAAATCAAATGTCCCAAATTTGTCATTCATAGCTTTCTTTCAGAGGATACATTTACTAGGAAACTCTGTCTACACAGCTGTGTCAAAAGTACAGACACGTCTCCCACACTCATACCACACCCCCTTGGCCTGTCTTCCCCCACCTCTTTTCCAAGCTTAGGGAGGGTCTTAAATGCACGGCACCCCTGTGCTGTCATCTTGGACTTGCTCTAGATGGTCCCTCCCTCATCAGCAGAACTACCTGTGGAGATGTGTGTTCCATCGCCTAACCCAGTGCAGACTGGGGCTTTTGTAAAATAGGGACAACATGAATAAGAGAAAATTAAGGGGAAAGTTACATGAAAGACAGACCTAATAACCGTGTGCTTAAATGCCACAGCAAGGCCTTATTGACCACAGTCCCTGAGGAAATTCCATATCACTGGTGTGCCTGGTTTTGCTGTGTCTCAGTTTTCTGCCCTTCACTGCTGACGCACTCATTCTTTCACAAATCGAACGTTTTGGCAACTCTGCATTCAGCAGGTCTACTGGCGCCATTTTCCTAACAGCATGTGCTAACTTCCCACTCTGTGTCACGTTTTGGTTAACTTCCCCGATATTTCAAGATTTTTTTGCATGACTAAACCTGTTCTGGTAACCAGAAATCACTGAGAGTAGATAGCACTGTCATTGTGGCAAAAGTTTACCATGCCCGTATAAGACAGTCAAGTTCATGGGCAAATGTTGTGTGTTCTAACTGCTCCATCAAATGCCTATTACCTTCCATCTCCCTCTCTCCTCTGACCTCTTATTGAAATTTGGCCCCTAAGCATTCAAGTGAAAGGGAGAGTCAATCAATGATTCCAATTCGTGGTTGTCCTATTTTAAGCAACGGTCACTGCCATGGCCACCTTCAGCAACCACCACCCTGACGGGTCAGTAACCAGCAACACTGAAGGGAGCCCTTTGTCCAGGAAAGAAAATGCAACTCTCAGAAAGCTTAGATGATGGGTTGCAATTTTTTAGTAATTGTTGGTATTTTAAATTAAGATTAATACGTTTTTAAGACATCTGCTATTGCCCACTTAATTGACTAAAGTGTCAGAAGAAGAAAACTTTCACATATACTGGGAAAAGCAAAAACATGTGTGTGACTAGCTTTAGGGCAGGGGCCTGGACAGGGCTCACAGTATATCTGAGAGCTGCCTGTGCTTGTCTTATCATGGAATGGCGCCATGGATGCCACAGGGCTAGTGCTAGTCCAGGTGCCAATTCTAGGTCTCACTCCTCTGACAACTGCAGCAGGATTAAGTCAAAGGCTCAGGAAACCTTTGGAGCGAAACAGTCAATGTGCAAGGTGCCAAATAAATAAATAAATACCATATATGCTCGAGTCTAAGCCAACCCGAATATCAGCCGAGGCACCTAAGTTTACCACAAAAACTGCATTAAAAATGTGCTGAAAAACTCAGCTTATACACAAGTATATGTGGTAAATAAACAAAAAGAAGACATAAAAGACTTCCAGGAGAGCCCCGTCTTTAATTTCCACAGTTAAATGCAATCATCGAACCAGCCAGCTAGCTCTGATGCGGTGCCATGTTTGGGGGGAAACCAGAAGGCTATTCTCCGATCTCATTTGTATTAGATGTCATGAGTCTGTGATGAGGAGAGCTATTACCTGCCAATGGGATTTATTACGCAAATTAAATAATGAGGAATCCATGTAATTCATTTCACAGAGCACTACATAATGAGAATGGTAATTTATTCATCAGATTCGCTATCCTTCTTTGTAAGTATACAACTCTTTCTTACACCCAGGTCCGAGAAAGGCAAGTCCTTTTTGAATGCAACACGACCAGAAAAGGAGGAATTTGAGAGTTTTTATAGAATACAGGGCACTTCAAAAAGTCCATGGAAAAATTCTACGATGTCTGAGCTGCATTTCTCCACAAACTTTTTGAAGTCCCGATGCACACATAGGAAAGCCTGAGAGATAGTGGGGGTTCAGTTCCCGACCACAGTCAAGCAACTCTTTTGATAAAGTCCGCCATAGAAAGCTCCTGGTTTCCTGGAGCATCTAAAAATGGTGCTTACACGACACAGGAACCTGCTAAGTGGGCAAGCACATGATGAAAGGTTGAACAGTTGGGAGAATGATGAGACTGTGACACTGAGACCCAAAGTCATCATCTACGATC